AGGTGGAGGAGGCCATGCTGGCCGTGCTGCACACGGTGCTCCTGCATCGCAGCACAGGCAAGTTCCACTACAAGAAGGAGGGCACCTACTCCATCGGCACCGTGGGCACCCAGGATGTCGACTGCGACTTCATCGACTTCACCTACGTGCGGGTCTCCTCTGACGAGCTGGACCGGGCCCTGCGCAAGGTGGTTGGGGAATTCAAGGTAGGGTGTGCACATCCCGGCAGGACCCGAGGGCAGCACCCTTTCCCTCTGGGTTGGCTCTACATCTGAGGTGGGAAGGGTCCTGGCTACCCTAGGAGGAGGGGGTGGGGGGAGCATGGGCAGAATTACTGGACCAGATGATCCCATTTGCTGCTCAGATGAGAAGAGGGAGAAGCATCAAGGTCTGATCTGTTCTTTGCCTGACTTCCCTCTTCTGTTCTTTGGCTTCCTTTTTTATTATTATTATTATTATTTCAAAAATGCTTGGATTGCCGAGATCAGTTTGGCTCAGTGGATAGAGCGTTGGCTTGCGGACTGAAAGGTCCCGGGTTCGATTCTGGTCAAGAGCATGTACCTTGGTTGCGGGCACATCTGCAGTAGGGGTGGTGCAAAAGGCAGCTGATCGATGATTCTCTCTCATCGATGTTTCTAACTCTCTATCCCTCTCTCTTCTTCTCTGTAAAAAAAAAAAAATCAGTAAAATATATTAAAAAAAAAATGCTTGGATTGATGTCAGAGAGGAAGGGAGAGGAAAAGAGAAAAACATTAATGATGAGAGAGAATAATTGATTGACTGCCTCCTGCATGCCCCCCATTGTGGATTGAGCCTGCAACCTGGGCATGTGCCCTGACCAGGAATCAAACTATGAGATGTTCAACCACTAAGCCACACCAGCCAGGCTCTTTGGCTTCCTTCTTTCCAATCAAGGATTGCTGGGCTTTATATTCCTCCCTCCTTTTCTTTAAAGATTGTGAGTTTAGGTTGCATGGATCAAAGGAAGGGGAAGAATTGTCCATAATTAGTAGTGGAGAATGCACATAGGATTTACCTGGGGATTAGATGTTGGAGTACATTTTGAAGGATGGGGCTAAATGAGTGTGGTTGTGGAAGGAGCAAGAAGGCCCTTTGTGTAAAGGTGAAAAGCAAGGATTTTGAAATCAGACAATCTGGATTCAAACCCTAGTGCAGCCTTTCACTGGCCTGTGACTTTTGGCAAGATAACTTCAATCTGAGCCTCATTTTGCCTCAATATTCCTGCCTCCCAGAGTTGTTAAGTGGGATTGTGCATATAAAGTGCCTGGCCCAGAATAAGTGCTTAAAAAACAGCAATTCTGAGCAAAGCTGGAGGCGTTGGGCAGGGAGACAGGTTTTGTTTTGCCAGAACCACTCAATTTTAGGCGGGCTGTTTGCTGTGTCCCAAATCTCTTACCTTCTCTGTTTATCATTCCCTGCCCTCCCTAAAGGACTAATAGAACTAGGAGAGCATAATTCCCTGGGGTGTAGGAAGCAGTGCTCACCGGATGCTCTCTGCTACCCTTTCTTCCCAGGATGCACTGCGCAACTCGGGTGGCGACGGGCTAGGGCAGATGTCCTTGGAGTTCTACCAGAAGAAGAAGTCTCGCTGGCCTTTCTCAGACGAGTGCATCCCCTGGGAAGTGTGGACGGTCAAGGTGCACGTGGTGGCCCTGGCCACGGAGCAGGAGCGGCAGATCTGCCGGGAGAAGGTGGGTGAGAAGCTCTGTGAGAAGGTCATCAGCATCGTGGAGGTGATGAACCGGCACGAGTACCTGCCCAAGATGCCCATGCAGTCGGAGGTGGACAACGTGTTCGACACGGGCTTGCGGGACGTGCAGCCCTACCTCTACAAGATCTCCTTCCAGATCACCGACGCCCTGGGCACCTCGGTCACCACCACCATGCGCAGGCTCCTCAAGGACACCCTTGCTCTCTAGGCCGTGCTGGTGCCTTGGGTGCTCCTCGCTGGCTTGCAGACCGAGGCTTCTGGGGATTGTACTGTTAGCCCCTGGGGCTCTGGAACCTGCTCCGGGTCCTGATAAGACTTGGGAGGGCCATCCCCTGGCTTCCTTGATTTGTGGCTGCCCGTCTCTGGTCAGCCTCGTAACCTTCACTGACGGTCCATCAGGCCAATACTGTCCCACCTCTGGTGGGTCCCCTTCTCTACTGTATGGAAGGGCCATCGCTGTGATGGTGAATAAAGTTGAGAATGCGAGTTTGGATTAAGCCATGTCTCCCTTGCCTTGTGTTCTGTCCTGAAACGGACACTTTCTGGCAGACTTGTGAGGACACAGGTGTGTTGAGGGCATTAATCCAAGGTGAGGGGAATGGGTGGACAGGATTACAGATGGATTAAAAGATGACTGATTTTGTACTTTGTTGGGCATTCACATGATGTTACCTACCAGGATGTGACCAAGGTCAGTCCTTTGAAGATATAGATCAGGACCTATTGCTTTTATTTATTTATTTAAAACCTAGAGGCCTGGTGGGGTCCCTTGGCCTGGCCTGCACCCTCTTGCAATCCAGGACGCCTCCGGGATGCCGGACTGCCAGTTTCGGCTGTATCCCTGCAGGCCAGGCCAAGGGGCCCCACCGCCGGGCCTCTAGTATCATATAAGATCTTTGGTTAATCTCTTCCTGCCCTTCCTCTTACTCCCTCCTCTCTTCCCTCTGAGATTGATCAGTTTTTTCCATGTTTCTATGCCTGTGCGTTGAGCGTCGCCCCTTCCCCCCCCTCCGTGATCAGTGCGCATCATAACTACCTGTCTTATCTGTCGGCTGGTTCTTAGACTTTTATATATATAGATGATTAATTGATTGGTTGATTTGAGAGGGGGAGAGAGAGAAACCTTGATTTGTTCCACTTATTTACGCACTCATTGGTTGATTGTTGCATGTGTCCTGATCAGGGATCGAACTCTCAATCTTGTATCGGGACGATGCTCTAACCAACCTGGCCAGGAGGCTCTGTTGCTTTTAGATATGACAGTGTTGTTTCTCCTCCCTAAGGAAGCTGTACATCCCTGGCCTGTATGTTATGTGGTCTTGCTTTATGATGGCAGAAACATCAATGATGAGAGAATCATTGATCCGCTGCTTCCTGCACCCCCCACACCAGGGATCAAGCCTGCAACCTGGGCTTGTGCCCTGACCGGAAATCAGACTGACCTCCTGGTTCATAGGTTGATGCTCAACCACTGAGCCTTGCCATCTGGGCTTCTTTGTCTTCCTAGCGCACACAGACCCAGCGTGCACCGAGGGATTTGATTTTGGGTTTCTCTCTGAGGAGAGATGGGCCAGCTTGAGACTGGTGTCTGGTGACACGACTTCCAGATTGGGCTGGCCTGGCTGGTGGTTAGAACATTACTGTGGTAGCTCACACTTGTTTCAATATAGGCATACTCAAAATCAATGACCTCCACTGTGTGCTTTTTATTGATTTAGTCCATGTTTTGCAGTGCTTTTTGGTTACATCTGGGCCAGTTGTAACAGACTGAGTGAACTGTGTGTAGGGAGGGGTGCTAAGGGAGAAATGGTTGGGGTGCAGGAGGGGTCTTGCCGGTGGTCCTGGAGCAGGTAGGTAGGAGCCAGGATTGCCAGGAAGTGTTTGCGCGGTTTTCTCATTCCGATCCGCTGTGGCCAGGTGATAGTTCATTACAGGTTTTGTGATGTCCTGCCCTTGATCTCCGAGGAATCGGAGAACCCAGGGTTTGGAGATGGGGAAGGCCCATCCCCAGCAATTTTTTAATGCTGTGTGAGCCCTACTTGGCCTGTAGTCTGGGGACATTTTTCTCTGGCCATCAGCTGATTTTTTCATTTGAGTTGGATGACATGTGTTTGCTAGCAGTGACTTTATTGTATTCTTTTCGTTAATGATATTTTATTGATTTTTAGGGGAGAGAGAGAGAGAGAAGGAGAGAAACATTGATGTGAGAAAGATACCTCAATTGGTTGCATCCCACATGTGTCCTGACGGGGCCAGGGAAAGAACCTGCAACCCAGGTACATGCCCTTGACTGGGAATCAAACCTCTGACCCTTTGGTGTGCGGACCAACGCTCTAACCACTGAGCAGCACTGGCTAGGGCAGCAGTGACTTTGTTTAAAAGAGCTCAAGGTTGCTTTAGGGTTTCTCAAGACCCGTGGGCATTCCCTCCATTCCAGCTTCCCCAGACTCCCGCAGCCAGGCTGCTCCACTCTCCCACGCTGGCGTGGCTGTGGGCTGTCCAGCTGGCAGCAAACTCCCCAGGTGGACAGGACAATAACACCTCCATCCTTTTGGCATTGTGATTTCCCGGAGGTAGGGGGCTGGTTTTCTCAAGGTCAGAACCAAGCTTTGCTGACTCTTCTTGCCCTCTGGGGCCTGCACAGAGGCACAGGGGTAGGCCTTAAAGTCCCCCCGCCTCTCTCTCCCTGTGTGGGACCAAGGAGGCACTGGCCTGCTTGTCCAGCCCCTCGTGACTCCCTAAGGGGAGGACAGATGGGCATCACTCGGGGCTTGGAGGCTGTCAGTGACCAGCATCTCCTGTTCCGGGGCACCTGGGCCATCGAGCGAGCAAGCGAGCGAGCAGCACTGAGCAGACAGCCCAGGAATGGGCGTGGCCCTGGCTCCTGCTCAGCGGCCCACACCTGGGAGGGTCTGGAAGACCTTTCTCAGGTTCTGAGGAAGGTACTAGCTCAACTTCCTTTGACAGAGGGGACAGGATTCCTGGGTTTTGTTAGTTGGGAGCATAGGCCAGATTCGCGCGCACAGGTGTGGGGGCTTTGAGACAAGAAGATAGAACCCCTGGCCCGGAAGTCTGGGCTGGAGTCCACGCTGTGGGAGCCCTTGGTCTGGGAGGGGCCTGAGTGCTTTGCGCAAGGATGGGGGTGTAGGACGACTGGGACCCGCCCCTTCGGTCCCTCCCAGATGCAGTCCTCTGCCTGCCGCCTGGGCTCCCACACGCCTGAGGGTCCTGCACACATCTGGGCACATCTGGGCAGCTGAGGGGAAGCATGAACGCCTCGCAGGCGGCCAGAGCTGCCTGGCTGAGCTGCTGCAACCAGTCCGGGGTGCAGCTGGGGCTCCCCGAGGGGCCGCGCCCCGTGCAGGCCGCGGTGCTGGGCGTGCTGTCGCTGCTGGTTCTCTGCGGGGTCCTCTTCCTGGGGGGCGGCCTCCTGCTGCGCGCCCAGGGCCTGAGGGCTCTGCTGGCCCACGGGCAGCACGCGTCCCCCGAGGCTGAGCCGGGCAGCGAAGATTCCTAGGCACCCCAGCTCCTAGGCACCTCTGCCCTTGGGGTTGCCTGGTCCAGCAGCCCTGGAGCTGGTGCGTGACTGCGAGGGAGGCAGCTGCCGTGGTGCCGGTGCGGGTCAGACGTGCGCTGAGGACTGCTGCCGAGCCGGAGGCTCCGGTTCCTCCTCCACTGAGGCTGCGGGTGCACAGGTGACAGACACAGCTCTTCAGGTCTCCGGTTCCGCCTCAGGAAGTCCCAGGTTCCGCCTCAGGAAGTCTGCAGCTGCCTCACCCCACCCCGAGTTCTGGGATCTGAGGGAAGGGGCTGCCTCTGCTCTCCGCCCTCGTCTCTCCTGCAGTGGTGCCCCTGCCCAGGTATTATTTTTTCTAGAACACATTTCTTACTGTACTGGGAGGGGAGGTTGGCGGTGGGAGAGGAGGGAGTCTGGGAGGACCCCTGCGCCCACTTTGCTCCAGCCCAGCTCCGAGGTGCCCCGGCATCGCCCATACCCCTGGGAGGAGAGACTGGGACAGAAACTCAGACAACCTCAGCCTTTCACTTCATCCTCCCCTCCTAGAAGCGAAAACGGAGTGAGATTTCTCACTGTGACCTCCCTCTTGGGGCCGGGATGACCCCTGAGGGTGGGGAAGGGGTGTGTGTGCAGGTGGAAGGGGCTCCCCCAGCCCTAGCTCAGTTGGGGTGGTGGGTGGTGCCCAGAGCTGGGAGCTCTGTGGAGTGTTTGTGGGTGGCGGGTGGCAGGGAGCTGACAGCTGGGGGGCCTCAGGGGCACTTTCCCCAGGATGCTGGGACTGACGCTTCCCAGCTGTGGCTCCATCTGGCTCTCTGCCTCCTGTCTCCAAGGACTGGAACCATCTGGAGGGAAGGGCCTGGGTGGCCTAAAGACACGGTAATTCCAGGCCAAGGGCATGGGGGGCGGAGCCATGGGGGCTGGGCAGAGAAGCCCTGGCTGTCCCTCTCCTTCAGCCTTGCACCTAGGGGCTCCTGGCAGGTGTCCCTGGGGCACTCCCTCTAGAGGGTTCTCTACGGCTCGCTGCTCCACAGGAGAGCCCTCGCCTGCTTGCAGAGGCAGTACCAGCTTCCCTCTTGGAGTGCATGTGGGCAGGGGCTGGTGAGGGGCAAGGGGCAGTGTGGGCAGGGTGCTGAGCAGCTGTGGAGCTGCCCACGTGTGATCTGCACACAGCAGCCTGGGATCTGGTGCCAATCCCAGCAGCCGAGCCTCTCAGGCCTTGCTGAGCTGTGGGAGTCTCACCTCCGGTGCCCCCTCACCGCTTTGGAGAGGGCCCCTGGGGACTGAGGGTGCCTGTCTGCTCCTGGCACAGGGGAAGCAGTGCTGTGTCCTGGCGTGGGAGCCCCTCTCTGTACCCAGGTTCACCTGACCTGGTGAAGCCCATCGCTTTGCTGCTTCTCCGTGCTTTCTCCCAGTGCTCCGCTTCCCCCGTGGGGGAGGGGGGTCTCCATGCCCACGGCGAACCCTTCGTTTTACAAACCGGGAGGCGCAGAGAGAAGCAGCGATGTGCCCGGGTGACTGACACAGGTGGAAGGGGGCCCGGGGGCTCCTGATTCTGATCTCAGGGATGGCCGCATCCTAGCGAGTGGTCCCCACTTGGGTCGCCCCTCTTGCTCTGTCCCCGCCTCCCCTATTTCCTATTACTTTTTGGGATGCTGATGCAAAATATGGCCCCTCCCCCATTTTCAAAGAAATCAGAACTCAACCCCCCAAACTCCCCCCCCCCACACCCGCCCTCCCCGTTGCTGCCTCACTCCTGCCCGTACTTCCCCAAGGGCCTTGTTAATGCCTTCGGCTGCCAGGACAGCAGGACGCGGCAGCAGCTGCCAGCCCGCTGGGCTCAGCTGCCCCGTGTGACTGAGGGCGGGTGGGACCCGAGGTCCGCTGGAATACGCATCCATGAAGAATCCCCGTGGCCAGCGCAGAGGGATCCGGAGTAAGGGTGGTGATGCCTTTGGATTGGCGTCTGGGTCCCCGTCCAGGTGGTTTTAGGGGTGTAGGTGGGTAGAGGGCAGGGCTGGGCCCCAGCAGCATCCTGTCTGCTGACACCACAGGGGAGTGGGAAGGGTAGGCAAAGGCTCTCTTCAGCCTTCTGCTGTGCTTCCCTTCAGCCCAGGGCTTGGAGGGTCAGGGCGCCATGAGCTGAGGCCTCCATGTTCCTGGGGGAAGATACGGAGATGTTTGCTGGGGAGCGCTGACTCTGGTCAAGGCTGCCAGACGGAGTGGGAAGGGAAAGAATTTAGAAAATTGGGAAATGGGAGCAGCTGTCACCCCGGCTCTCAGCTTATAGCTAGGAGCAAGGGTGGGGGTGGGTGCAGGCCTGAGGGCCACGGAGGGAGGCTGGCACCTGGGTCCTTGGCAAACTCCCTCAGCCTGCACTGTCCTTGGGGGGAAGACTGGCAGCAGGTGGGTGGAGGTCTTCCCCTAACTTTGCTCCAGCCCCCGAGTTTCACCCTGAGCAGGAAAAGGCTGTTGGGGTTTATTCAGCTCATTCCTTGGCTTCCACAGAGCACAGCTCCCTTTCCAGCAAAGACGGGGCCCTGCCTGGCTGGTGCAGCTCAGTGGTCGAGCTTCAACCTAGGAACCAGGAGGTCATAGTTCAATTCCCGATCAGGGCATGAGCCCAATTGTGGGCTTGATCCCCAGTGTGGGGCGGGCAGGAGGCAGCCGGTCAATGATTTTCTCTCATCATGGATGTTTCTATCTCTCTGAAATCAATAAGAACATATTTAAAACAGACAAAAAAGATGGGGCAGCTGTCCCTTACAGATTCCCGAGCCTTGTATGGTCTGTTCTCCAGAGAGTGCTCTCCGCCCGCTGCAACTCGACAGAGGATCCACGGCCCTGGTGAGACCTCCGCCGAAGACCCATGTACTCCGATGCCGCCTCCGACCGGCCCCACTCGGCCCCCGGACTCGTGGAGTGGGCTGAGGGCCCCAGGCACTGAAGTGGCCACATCCTGGCTGCTCCGGAGCCGGTGCTGGTGCACGCCAGCCTGCTGGGCCTCAGAGGACACGGGCATGTCCTGTCTCTGTGAGGTGGCATAATCTGACCGCCCAGGGACCTGTCCTTGCTGAGAGCGGAGAGCCAGTGCCACCCCTTTGGAAGTCTTGGGTGCCCCGGCGATGCCCCCTGTGCCTTGGCTTGTTACGAAACATGCTGCCCTACAAATTGACCTCCAGGAACTCTGTCGCATGGAAGATACAAGCGTAAAAGCAAAATAAAAAATAAAGAATTGTGGACAGTTTTATAAAAGAGCTATGAACAGGGTGATAGAAGAGCATAAAGGAGGAAACGTAAAACTGCCTGAAGGTTTCACTTAAATCTGCTTAAAGATTGCACTTACAAAGGATTAGTAAATATTGGTATTCTTGGGAATGAGTGCATGAAGACCAGTTTAAAGGCTAGCACTCATATAAACCATTATTCAGAATTCACATACCCAGTGATGTTTGTTTTCCACTATACATATGCAGGTGCAGTTGTGGTATCATTTGTTTCCAGCTCCAGGCTCTTGGCATCAGTGGTCCCGCTGCCCGCCTCTGGTCTGAGCTGTTTCTGGCAGATCTGAAACAGCAGCCCCAGCCGGGCCCTCTCCCAGGTCTCCCCAGGGGTGGCTTTTCCAGTCTCAGGTCCAGATCTGTGCAGGTGGAGGAGGCAAGGCGACAGCGACTCTCACCCAGCACTCCGCTGCCCCCCTGTGGCCAGTGTGCGCAAGAACGCCCATTCTTTCTACCTGTGCATTGGGGTCTGATCCCAGTCCAGCCGCAGCTGGTGCCTCCAATGAGAGTGGGCTTTGTGACCGTGCTCAGTGAATTCTAGGGAGTAAACTTCCTGAACCCCAGTCTCTTCTCTTATAAAAACGAAGGCAGCAAGGGTCCTTGTGAGGATCAAATGGGTAATGGGCTTGTCTGGAGATAAAGGGCTTTCTGTATGGAAATTATCAAGTGCTGTTACCATTCCTCCCCTTCCCCAAACCCAACCCTCCTCAGAGAAGACGAGGGTCGCCCCCTGTGTTTTAGGGCCGCCTCCCCGATCCCCTTCCCCGTGAGGACCCACTGAGTGAGGGCTCCGTGCCCGGCAACCTCCGGGGGCCCAGAGCGATGCCTTTGAGGGGCTCACAGCCCAGTGATGGGCTGAACGTGGGTGAGAAGTGCCTGTGTCCATAACCCGGAGCACAGGGGGCCGGGCTTGTAGAAGAGGCGGTGGATGGGCATTCGTGGGGCGAAGAAGGGGAGGGGAGGAAGGGCTTTCTGGGCTGAGGGGCGTGGCCGCGGTGCCCCGGAAGCAGGGGAGTTAGAGTGAGTGTGCAGGGAGGTGAGCACAGCGGGTGGCAGCCTGGGGAGGGTGGGGAGCAGCGAGGTCTTACGGTGGGACCCGGTCAGATCTGAGTCGTGAGGAATTAGGGTTCTGTATGTGGGTGGGAGCAGGCTGGAGGCAGAGCCAGCACGGAGGCGGTGGTCAAAAACCGGCAAATGTGATGGTGGCCTGAGCAAGGGTGGGAAGGAAGGGGGACCGATCTGAGCAATATTTGGGATTCAGGCTTCGGTCAACAGTTGGATGTGAGGGAGGAGGGATAGGGAGGAGGGAGGACAAGGTCCCAGCTCTCGGCCTGGATGACGGAGGGGGTGGTGATGCCTGCCACCCACCGAGGCGATGTGTGATCCGTTAGGACTTTTTGGTCTGATTTTATAGGAAACCCGGCAAACGTGATGTGTGGCTCGAGCAGAAGGGGATTTGTTGGCCCATGTGGCTGAAAGCCTGGGGCTGGCCTCAGGCCTGCCATGATGAAGGCGGAGCCTCGCTCCCTGCTGGGGTGCTGCTGTCGGAGAGAGGGCTTGACATCATTGCTGGACCCGAGTGCTGGCACCACGATCACCAGCCCTGCGACCTGAGCTGGGGCTCCCCTCCGTGGCTCCACTCGCCCCCCTCAGGGTGGGGAAAAGCGGGCCTCGCTCCTGTGTTTCTGGTTGGGATGACATGGGGTCCACGCGTGTGGAATG